CCTGAATCCGCAGAAAGTGAAACTCCAGATAAGGGGGGACTGCTGTGCATCTGAGTTGAGGTTCTAGCTCTACCACTTATTAGTGAGGGAACTCTGAGCCTCTATTTCCTCATCTACAAATCAGGATGATGTGGTGGTTATGAGGACTGAGTGAGCTAACATGTGTACATAAACGTGCCCTGCTCAATGCTTGGTACAAAGTGAGTAGCTGCCCTTATTACTGGCTGCACCCAGCTCACCACTTTTCCACTCTGTCTCTCCCAGGACCTCCAGGGAAACAGGGCCCCTTTGGGAGGGCTGGCTTGCCTGGACAGAGCGTGAGAGTGGGCTACACCTTGGTGAAGCACAGCCAGTCAGAACAGGTTCCCGTGTGCCCCGCCGGGATGAGCCAGCTGTGGGTGGGTTACAGCCTGCTGTTCGTGGAGGGGCAGGAGAAAGCCCACAACCAGGACTTGGGTAGGTACTAACTCTGACAGCCAGCCCTGGCCATCTGTCCCCACGAGGACCAAGAGCCACCCCCCTCGTTCCTCCCAGTCCTTGGTGGGTCCACTGTTGTGTAGTGGGTTACGAGCACCCACTCTGGCATCAAGCAGATCTGGGTTCCAACACTAGCCGTGTGCCCAGGGACACGTTATTCAACCTCTCAAAGCTTCTGCTTCTTCCTTAATGGAACAAAGCTAATTCTAGCACCTATCTCATGAGGCAGTGTTAGCATTACCCGAATGACCCCAATGTAAAATGCTTGGAACAACATTTGGTATATACTGAGCATCCATTAAATGTTGGTGATTAGTAGTAGTAATAATATGACCTGCAGGGCAAGGCTGATTACCCAGGAATGAATTGTATTGTCTACAGGTGTGCTAGCTCTGAACCGCAGACTCACGATCAAATGCTGGTTTTACAAAGCAGATTAATCAGGGAGTCATTATGCAGTTTATAAAAAGATTATTTTCACTATCAAACTTCCCCCGGTGCATTGAAAACCGGATTTAATCAACAGACTTGTGCGTGTGCAGTGCTCCAGGATGGCGAGGAGAGGCATGCGTCTTCTGCTGCAAGTGGTTGGATGTAAACCTAAACCACCGCGCAGTCCAGTCGGGTGGTCCTGGGCATAGTCCCAGCCCTGCCCCTGCCCACCTACTTTCCTTCCAGGGTTTGCTGGCTCCTGCCTGCCCCGCTTCAGCACCATGCCCTTCATCTACTGCAACATCAACGAAGTGTGCCACTACGCCGGGCGCAATGATAAATCCTACTGGCTCTCCACCACCGCCCCCATCCCCATGATGCCTGTCGGCCAGACCCAGATCCCGCAGTACATCAGCCGCTGCTCTGTGTGTGAGGCGCCCTCGCAAGCCATTGCTGTGCACAGCCAGGACATTACCATCCCGCAGTGCCCACTGGGCTGGCGAAGCCTCTGGATCGGGTACTCCTTCCTCATGGTAAGGCCTTGCACTGCCCCCGCCCCCAGGTATAGAGGCAGAGGGCAGGGTAATGTGCCGTTTGTGCTAGAAAGTGTTCTACCTGAGGATCAAGATGAGGAACACTTCGAGGCTTCATGTATCAGGAAAGGTCACTTCTGTGGAGACACATGCTCCCTACATTCTGCAAAGTAAGACACCCCTGGGAGTCCAAACTGAGGGTTTGTCCCATTGGCCGTTTGCTGACCCAGATGTATATGAAGCCTCTTCCCCACCTCTGTAGTCCAGATAATCATCCAGCTGTGGTGAAGGGAGAGGGGATGGGAGTGCAGAGTGGACTGTTATCCATGGGTACCGTGACTGGAGATTATCAGGTCATGAGTGGCACTGATGAGGAAATCCTGAAACTGAGTGCCGGCAGAGCTCAGTGAAGGGAGGGCCAGGACATCAGGCCAAATCTGAGGCCTACCTGTTCTCGGCAGGTAACAGACACTAAATGTCGCCTTAAAGGGTGTGGTACAGGGTAAAAATATAAATTCTAATGAAGATAACTGTAGAGTGAGAGCTATTAATAGATATGCTGGGGAAGGGCCCCGTGGTTTAACCACTTTGTGAGTATTGTATATTCTTTCCTTTCTTGGCGTACACCCCCAGGGGCTTAGAGTAAAAAGGGCTCTGAGAACTGTATTCTGAAACCTACTGAACTTTCCTTAATTCAGCCTCACACGTATGAATCTGTGGAATTTGGGGGGTGGGGCACCTAGCACACCTCAGAACTCAGTGGGGCAGCAGCAGTCTGGGAAAGTCTGGCTGAGATGTGGCTACAGTCCATGCACAGTGGCTTGCACCAGGGAGCTTGGAGGGGGCGGGGCGCTCCTGGCCCTGAGGCTACCACACGGGAGGATGAGCTGTCTGGTTCCTACAATATGGCCTTTGGTCTTCTGGCTAGATGCTGGGGCCAAGCCAAGGGGCCTGAGGTTAGGAAGGAAGCGTACGTTCCTCCTGGAGCGGCAGAGCACCCACCAGCTCCTGTGGGCGCAGCTCACACCCCACGCCTGTCTGTTTCAGCACACTGCCGCGGGTTCCGAGGGTGGAGGTCAGTCCTTGGTCTCACCTGGCTCCTGCCTAGAGGATTTTCGCGCCACTCCTTTCATCGAGTGCAGTGGTGCCCGGGGCACCTGCCACTACTTTGCCAACAAGTACAGTTTCTGGCTGATGACAGTGGAGGAGAGGCAGCAGTTTCAGGAGGAACCTGTACCTGAAACGCTGAAAGCCGGGCAGCTCCACAGCCGGGTCAGCCGCTGCCAGGTGTGTATGAAAAGCCTGTAGGGTGGCACCTGCCACTCTGCCTCTTGCCCTCCCCTCCCCCACACAACGGTCGCCTCACAAACCCAAGCCGTCTGAAGAAGGAAGGCATGATCCCGTTTGCCCATCTGTCAAGTTGTACATTGGAGTCTCATTTGGGCTGGACTACCAGACACTGGTCACCCCAACTCTGTCAGGCCCCATGGGTGAGCCCACTGAGATCCGCTGTCCCATTTCAGTCAACCTGGTGCTACCATTTGATTCAGATATTGATGGCTACCTCAGAGAGACCTGCCAGGCCACCCCTTTCTTAGACTGCTAGCGTTCCTCACTGTCTCAGTCAGAAAGCTCTTCATAATGGCTGATAAGTCATTTCTTTGTGCCCAGAGTCACCACACATTATTTGGTTTAAACCCAACCACAGTGTTTCCACATTAAAAAAATATTATCTGGCTAAGCATTCATGGGTGACTCAAGTCTGCATAGAGCAAGCCCTCACTCTTCAAGGAGGCCCAGCTTGAAGGCAGGCAGCAGAGCTGGAATAGGTGCCAGCCAGTAGCCTGGGGTGAGCTCTGACTCCTTGGAAGAGTGACGGGTGACTGGGCCCATATAGCTTAGGGAGGCTTCAAGGCCAACAGCCAAGAGGAGCTCATTCACTTCATAGGGTCCTAGACAAAGCATTTCCTCCTTTGGCTCCCTGCCACAGAGACCTATGACTTGGCCAGGTCCAGGTAGCTTAGAGGATGCACCAAATGTAGCCAGGCCCATAAAGAGAAATGAGAACCTCAGCCCTTCCTCCCAGGCCAGGAGTACAAGTGTGCATGGTAAGGAGGTGTGAATTTCGCTTTTGACTCCAGAAACAAAAGGTAAATCCCTTGTCCCAATTTCTCAAAAGTCCCCGTTTATTCCAAATGCCATCCAGATGTGTGCACTGTAGCAAATCCGAGTTGCAGAGTGTTGGTTCATTTGAATTTTGAGGCTGTTGGAGAACTTCCGTTAAAATGGCCATCCAATTTCTCCTTTACAGGTAGCCTGTTAAGCTATTTTAATACATTTTTAAAACCTCATAAAAATCTAACACATTTGTCTCTTTAGCAATTAGCAGACCTAAAGCAAGCCTGAGTTGACTATAAAGTGTATTGTATTCTGTTTGAGGGGATTTGTTTAAACAATTTTCTTTAATTATCAGTTTCCCGGAACACTTAGCTATGTTAACATGAGGCAATTCCTTCCAGATGATTCTGTTTCCTTAAATATTATGTAATCTGTGCCAACACAGACAAAACATAATCAGTATAATCTGAGTTACTGTTACTTTCACCTCCTCTGAGTAATAAGCATGGTGTCAGCTTTGTACATCACAAATAAAAGGAATTAAATATGAACATTTGACTCTCTTGACATTTTTTATGAAAACTTTTCTGAAGTCTGTCTCACTACAATTCATAAGTTCCCCCTCAGAGCTGTGGGCGATCCTGTTACTGCAAGTGGAGCTTTATAACAAAATATTGAGGCAAGAAAAAATACAATTATAGTCAAAGAGCAGAAAGAATCCTCTAACAGGCAACAAATCCACAACCTTTTTCAAGATAAGCCTATGACTACTTTTAGCCCTGTCACATGCTAGAGTTCCATACTTCTGGGCCTCAGGATCACTTACAGATAAATCAAAAGTAGAGACATGTTAAAGTCATTAAAATAAAATCTAAGATATATAAGCACTATGTGCGTGTGTGTGTGTGTGTGTGTGTGTGTGTATAAAATATATCTTCTGGAAGGATAAACAAGAAACTAATAACATTGGGGGCATTCAGGGAAGGGAAAGACATTTCACTGAATACCATTTTGAAGTTTTTTGAATTTTGAACCATTGGAATATATTACCCACTGGAAAAATTGGAATCTAAGGAAACAAGTGTTCTAATATTCCTAAATATACAAAAACAACAACAAACAAACAAACAAACGAAACCCTTTGGTTTTGTGCTAGCTTCCAAATCCCAGTTGCTGGCCTTCCCCAGGACTCGGTTGAGGATGGAGGTGAAATGCAAACAGGTTGAAAGGGCAAGGAGAGGAAACTGGGAAGACCCCACTGGGAGTAGACATGCATCCACACAGGAGACTGGGTGGCAAAGCCAATTTGATGAATATGTGCTGTAAAATTTAGTATGTTGCAAGTCCTGAAATGGTTTGGAACTAACTGTATTTGATGAACAGATTAAATATCACCACATGAATAATTCTTTCTAATTATGACTGTCAACCAAAAATGGAGTCTAATTCAAACACAATTTTAATTTCCCAAACAAAAATCAACAATTTAAGCCAGTAATTGGCAAACGACAACCTGTAGGCTAAATTCGGCCTTCCACCTGTTTTCGTAAATAAAGTTTTATTGGCTTACAGGCAGGCTCAGATTGTCTGTGGCTGCGTTTTTACTTCCAACAGCAGAGTTCAGTAGCTGTGACAGAGGCCACATCGCCTGCAGAGCCTGAAACGTTTACAGTCCGGCTCTCTACAGAAAACCTTTGCTTAACACACGATTTAAGTGATCATGATTTGTTTTAAGGGCAGGGTGACATTCGACAAAAGTGTCAATAAAGAAGGTGACAGTGACCCCCAAAGGGGAAGGTTCCCCAAAAGAGTCAGGAGATCAACAAGTACACATTTGACATAATTTCTTTGACAAAGTTTTTGATATAAATTACAATTAATTCAAATACATATTCAAATAATTTAACAAGAACTTTTGCTCCCTGATGTAATCACTTTATTGTTAGAGCAAGAGAACAAACTGCTTCTTAGTATTTAGCCCCAAAGAGGTCACGCCTGAAAGGGTGAGGAAGCACAGGTAACCATCTGTCATCTGCCAGTGCTGGAAGCAAGGGGGGAGTTGCTGTCTGTCTTCCAGATGTCCAGCTCCTCATTTCAGTAGCGGCACGCTCACTGTGGCCATGTAAGTCAAGCTGGGAAGCAAGCGACAGCTCCTAAGCTTTCTGCTCCTAGATTCCATGATTGTTCTAGTTCTTTCTGGGGAAGGGTTGTTATGGGTTTTTTCTGAAAACGGTGATTGGCTCAGTCACGATTGATTGCTATTAAGTTTGTATGCTGTTGGCATATCAGGCACTTGCTGACTAGAAAAGTTTTATGTAACGAGTTCATGTTCTTCTGGTGTCAGATGGAAGACAGACCCCCAGGTTGAGTTGCTATTATTCTATATGCTCAGAATCTCAAACTCTTCCTCCAGGTCAAACTCCTCTAGCTGTTCAGTAGAGTCAATGAATTCTACCAAAATACAGAAATGAGAAAGAAGAAAAGCTTGACACTCAGGTTGAAGCGGTCAATACATTACTCAGTAGGGAAGACTGCATTTTTAAATCGCTTTGTTAAAGAAAAGCTTCTGTGAGGGAGACTTACAGATTGGACCACTGGCAAGTACTAGTAAGTCTCTATAAACAGTCCAAATAACCAGACTTGTTACACAGTCCTATCCACAGTGATGAGGATGGGGCTCTGCAAAACCTTTGAGGCACCATTTTACTCACCCACAGCCTCTGATTTGTTATTCTGAACCAGGAGATGAAAACAAATGTTCTAGTCATTTTGATTTTACATGGAACTTTCGTGCTGAGCTTATTTTCAGCGTTTATCAATCTTTGATTTCTGTAAGTGTCAGTTCATCAGAGAATTAAAATAAAGAAGCACCTATCCTTGCTTAGTCCAGACAATTGCTTCTGTTTCGTAAAACAATTGCTACATGAGGGTCTGCTGGACGCAGAGCCCCTGAACAACCACTTACCTGCCCCAGTGGTTGTCACCTCTGGCTTGGCTGGAGGTACAAAGGGAGGCCAGTGAGATGGATGTTTCTGAACTAATTCAAACATCCTTAAGTTTTCCTTTAGAATTTCCTGAAGACACAGAGAAACAGTTACAAGCACTGCAGAGTCAGTACATTTCTGTCCAACTGGCAATCTATGAACCTCAAGCCCTAAGAGAGTGGCCTGGTTGCTGAAAGGTGAAAGCAGAGGCCTAGCAAATACACCCAGCCACTCGCCAACTCATCTGAAGACCCAGCCCTCTTCAATTCTGGCACTGCTGGCCAGGACGGAGGGACACTGGAGGGAGTATCTGACAGAAGGCCCATGCTCACTGCCCATCCTGGCATGAGGTTCGGCTCACATGCCAGTTGCATGGGCTCAACTCAATTTAGGGGCAAGATACTCCTGAAGTATTGGCACCAAAGAAATGTTGGTTAATCAAATTAAATCTACCCCAAGACAAATACTGGTACATATTGGTATGGTTTCCATTTAGTCCAACATTTATGGTACACGTCCTAATTTAAATGGCATAGTCTTATCAGAAAGTTTTCTTTCTAACTTTAAATGTAAATACAAATACAGTTTTGCTGCATTCTGAAATGTAAGTATTGCTTTTAGAAAATAAGTCTCCATTATGTCTCAGCAAATTATTAACTGGGGTTTCAGATTCAGCTAGGGACACTAGTATTAGTTATTTGTTCACTTGTGAAGAACAATCTTCCCTCCTTACAGTTACAAAAGGCTCTGGGCTTGCATCTCTCCCATCTCTTTGTTTTGCAGAGAGAACACTGGGTCTCCTGCCACCCCATCCAGGGCTCTTTAAACTACTCCCTATAATCTCCTTTCATTCTTGCAATAAGCATTTATTGATGTCCTGTACATAGTTGGCATGTGTTAGACGGTGAGGAATAGGGAGGCAGATCGAAGATTGGTGAGCCTTCAAAACAATAAATACCCTTTCACACAAAACCAAAAAGAAAGAATAACTTGCTTTACTATTTACACAGATTTCTGCAAACCATGTTTCCTTAAAGTGGCAGCATACCTATATTTTATATAAATAAGACAGTTAATAGAAAGGCAAGCTCCTGAAACCACAATGGAATACATTAAACTGCAAATGGACCACTCAACACACAGACAAGTAGTTTGGTTTCTTCAACCATCTCAGTGTTATGAACAGGCTAAGGAAAAATTTAGGCTGATCTATATGAAATTGGCATTTTTAGGTTAAAATGGTAGAATATTAGTTGCATATTTCATAAGACTTGTAGGCTTAATGACATGAAACATTAAGTATCTAAAAATATCACTCACTTGACATATTAAACATATTTCTAACAAAAGTTTTTCTTTGGTTTCCACAGTTATGCACAATTCCCCACATCTTAGTTTCTTTCTCTTGTGATAAAGTCATATTAGGCTAGGTTTATCTCACTACAAAAAACAGTCTTGAAAAGGAATCATATTGAATAACTTTGTTTTTTAAGACAAAAACATACATCTTTACCTTTTGAACAAGGCTACACCAGCTATCAAAGTCTTTTTCTTCTTTGCAGAAAAATCCCTTGGGGGGAAGCAAAAGAGAACAACTTAGAACTGGTCAGGGCACCAAGACTGGACCCCTATACTACAAAATGGTGCCGTTGGCCCAGGGTTACGATGTGGGATGTGGGCCACTGTCCTTGGATGCGACGTCCCAAAAATTAGAAGATTGCCTGGGCTTATCTCTCTCCTAGATCATGGCCTCACTTGGACACATGTATTTGCTCATTCTTTCTCCCCCATCCCTCCCTCTTCATCTCCCTCTCCATTCTCTCTGTCTCTTCCTCTCCTTCTCCCTCTGTCTTTCCTTCTGTCTCTCTTTCTTCTTTTGTCCCTTTCCCTTTTTCCCTGTCCCTTTCCTCCCTGTCTCTATCCCCTCATATTGTGAGATATAGTAACCGGATGACCAATCTCCAAAGCGTAGGGTTAACTCCGTTACATTCAGTGAACAAATACACTATAAAGAACAGTCAAGTAAACCATCAAACAAAAGCCAAATAGTACTTTTAGCTAGAGGTAATACTTAATAAGGTGGCTTTGACCTTAAGGAAATTATCTATTAGAATAAAGAGAACCATCATCCTTCCCCACGCTCAGAGCCTTCCCACAGTAGTGAAAGAGTAGTCCGAGACAAGAAGAAGACTCTGTTGGTTCTTTGGACACAGGTGCTCTGTCAATCGGATTAAACTGGAAGGATGTAGATGGGCCTCATAACCACTGGCTACTTCACATGCAGCTGCCCCTTCGATGTGTGTAGACAGCAGTCATACTTGGGGGGGGGACCCTACAACTTCCTGGATTGTGTGCCCAGAGAAATGGGCACTGTCCACTCAGGGAGCCTTGCCCCCTTCTTCCTCCCTAGTGATGTCCCACCTTATTCCTTTTGACTGTGTGGCAATAATTAGAGGACACCAAGCGAAAAAAGGGAAAGACGGTAACTCTAATAATAACTAACATTTATAAAATGTTTACAATGTGCCAGGCATTGTGCTAAGTGCTTTACACACAGCATGCCTCCCGCAACCCTACAAAGAAGAAACTTCTCTTTTGCTCATTTTAGGGATGAGAAGACCGATGCTCAGAAAGGTTAAGGGACTCCTCCCAAGTCCACAGCTAGTAAGTGGCAGGGCACGGATTCCAACTTGAGCAGTTCGGCTTCAAGGCCCACTCCTCCCCCACCACTGTACTCTACCTCTTCTGGGATCTCTTGCCCCTCCCCCGCCCTTCAAATACCCACCAATGCTACAGAAGGATCCAAGTTCAGAATGTTCATTCGCTGTGGGGACTGCAGACAATGGAAAGTCTGGTCATCAACTGTTCCATTCTCTTCAGTGTCGACAAAGTTCTGGGTTGTGTGAGGGTCCAGGAAAATGAGCTCATCACCTGTTAGAATGAGGCAGCCTTAACCTTCGAAGATCCACTGGCCATGGCCCCACTGCTGTCCTTGGGAAGAGGAGCTCTGGTTTTCCTAACCCTTCCCTTGGTGACAATGAGAATGAGATGACAGAAAGCCAGAAGGAGGGTGAGCATGCCTGAAGGAAGCCACCTGCACCCAAATCCGATCATTCAATGAGAAGACTTGCCCTAGCATTCACATATCCTCAAGGCCCAAGTCCAAAACATGGAGAGCGATAGGTTTGAGAAAAGGTGGGAATGAGAGACCACAGATGACATGTCAGGCTCTGTGAGCAGCAGTAGCAAAGAGGCGCCATGTAGAATCACCAAGCCGTGGGTTCAGGTGCCATTAGGGAGCTTTCTGCCTCTCAGCATTGAAAAGCATCTCATTCTAGAGTCTAGACCACTGCTTCTCTGACCCATGGTCAGAGAGCACATCTGGTAAGGAGAAAGGCCTTGGCCTCCAAAGAAATGGGAACGCTGATTCTGCCATGGATGACGTACAGGGAGCCGACTTCCAATCTTGATGAGCTAGCAAGTTAGTCATTGTTAGCAAGTTAGTAATTCCTGTCAGAAAGCACTGCCTTGGTCACATTAACATCAGTATAGATATACCTCACTGGAAAAATTCACTTTGAGATGATCGAACTTTACAACTGAGAGAAAAGCCATGCTGCATTAAACTGAAATGGCCTAGGCCAACAAATGATCTGGGAGGGGTTCAGGATAATAAAATCTCTAATTTTAGCTGCTATTCAAAGGGCTGAGAGTCCCTCTAATGCTCATCAGAGACACGCTAAGTAGGCAAACGTGCCTAAGGAGGCACCCTAACCTCCCTTTCCAGGCCGGAGGATGGTTTGGGCCCCTATGTTCTAGACTGGGTTAGGCAACCAAAGAAAGACTACCTGCAGCAGGACGATGGGGTAGGGAGGAATGCCCTGAACACCTGCCCTTGAATGGCATTCAGGATCATGTTGGGCACATCTAAGTGCTTCTATTGGCAAAGCATGTTTCTGATGAAAGCTTAACTTGTCTCTGTCAGACCTAGGATAAACCATTTAAATCACTGTGTCTTCATTTTTTTTAAACATTTTTATTGGGGAATTGGGGATGGGAACAGCGCTGGGGAATTGGGGGAAGGGGAACAGACAAGTTGCTGTCGTTTTGTTCTTCA